ACTGTTCTAGTGGTTTTTGGATATTTTAATAAAAAAAATCTTACATATTGTGCCTTTAAGGTCAATCCCTAATTGAAATTTAAATCTGAGTTTACAGTTATGGAGAAACAGAATTAAAATTAATATAAATATAAATTAAATCCAGGATCAAAATCATGGTTTAAATGTAAACCTGCTTATTTTTAAACAAGGTTTAAAGATCGGTGCAACAGAATTATTGAATAAACCTTGATTTATTCCAGATTTAAGATTAATCCTTATTGGTGCATCCCACCCTTTGTAGTTTGAATTGCATGAAAACAGAACTAGTTCACACATAAGAGGCATGCAATGGTTTATTCAACATCTCACCAGGGGCGAATGAACTGTGGCAACATGGGGGCAACTTCCTGTGGACACACACATCCCAGCCGACCAATCGTAATGGCTGTTTCACCAAAAAAAAAAAAAAAACACACATGAGTGTGTTTCAAAGTTTCAAGCGAAAAAATTTGTTGCAGTCAAAGCTACAGAAATCAGAGCAACACTTTGCACAGATAATTTACCGGTGTTCTCCAGCAGAGTTTTGGGTGTATTAGGTCTGTTGATGATCTCCACAAGGTTATTGAGAACCAAGGCCACAAATGGCTGCATCTCCATACCTGGAAAAACACCAGACAAATTAAAGATCAAATGGCTGTCCAAAATTACACGGGACAGATATCATATGCAAATAACTGCGCCGTAGTGAATATACATCAGGGATGGGCAACTGGCGGCCCTCGGGCCACATACGGCCCGCTGGATCATATTAGATCATATCTCAGATGATCAATTTTAAAACATTTGAAAAGCAAGTCACGTAAAGATTGCTTTCAGTTTATGATGTTAATACTATCTCCAACCAGGAGAGGTCGCTAGTTTCCAGCCGCTCCCCTATTAATTTCAGCGTAGTAGGACGTGCACTCTAATGTAAACATTCATTAACATTAGCAAATAATAAATGAAAAACTGACCATGAAAACAGTATTTTCAAGTCAAGATGGTAAACAGATTATCTTTTTACCAAGTTCAAGGGGATACCCATATGTTTGGATTGTTTGGAAATCTGTATTTTATTTAAATCACCATCACACCACTGCTCACAAACAACGGGGACGCCAGAGTTGCACTTGCCTCAAATTTCAAAGGTAAAATTCATAGTCAACAAAAGCTTTTTGCCAAATGCATGACAGAAATGTTTGCACTGAACTGTTCTTATTAGGGTTTCCGCGGGTCCTTAAAACGTCTTCAGTTAAATTGTTTACATTTAAGGCCATGCAAACTCAGACTCATCAAACTCAAAAATTATAAGAGGTCTTTGGGGACGGAAAGACAAGAACTGTTATATGGATTAATATGACGATTAAACTTCAAAAGGCTACGACTTCACTGAATAAACTTGAGCGCTGCAGGTCAGCTTTGTGTACTGCGGTTACCGGGGAAACCACTATATTTCTGCAGTTCCGAAAGTGAAACCTGCCGGCAGAGAACGAATTTGCTTTTTCAAAAAGCCCATCTGCTATTTTTGCTACATATTTTTAAATGTGAACCAGTGGAT